TGTGATTATTGAGCAGGTTTGTTCGTTGTTTGGTGGTGATGTGATGTTCGAGACCTTGGAATTCCTCTTGAGTTATGTAGGTTAGGAGGAAGGATGGTTGTAGCATTTCAACATTTACACTGCATTACACTGACGGATGTGGTTGTCCATACTAAATGAAATGTGCTGAGTTGACCAATGTTTTGTTCTCATCCGTGGGTAACTTGGTTTTTGAAAAATCCTATTTTTCCTTCGATACACCGTTGTAGGAATTCCTGACGGAGTCACTGCCCGTGGATATGATTGGAATGAACTGTCGTCTGATGTCTCAGTACATAGAATTTGTTGCAGATCACTTGCTAGTTGAACTTGATTGTGAGAAGGTTTGTCTACGTTTTGAGCTTTGTTCCTCACTCATATGAACGATTTTTATTCACGGCTGTGTGTGTTACCCATTGCTTTTTTCTTAAGTTAAGTATTTAGCTCTACAAGGTGAACAATCCATTTGATTTTATGGAGAATATTTCCATTGATGGGAAAACAAATTTTTTCGAGAAGAAGGTATTCTAGCCTTTTGTGTTCGTTCTCTTCATTCACATGTACTCATCCTTGGTTTAGGTTTCCGAGTACCAGCGTCCTGGTGTCATGACGACAGAAAACGACAGACAGTTCCAGCTAGATGCCGATTTTTAGCAATTGTTACTTTCTACATTAGGTAACAGTCACTGTGAATGCATTTTATTTTGTTTTTTTCTTTGCAATGTAAAACATTGTGTGGTGCCCACTATAGGTTATTTTTGTTTTGTTTTTTTTCTCGTGGAATGTGCTTGTATAACACTCATCGTTTTCTTTCTGTTGTCGATCGCACTGTACAACACTTAGAGCTGAGATTGAGCTAATTGCATACTTTTCACCCGAAAGGTTCATGTGCCTTCATTTCAGATGTTTTGGTCCTTTTTTTGCTATCACGTTGGGGTTCGCTTATACACATAAACTCTTAACAATCTGCCCATATTCCCATGTATTTTTCCTATATTGAATAAAGGTAGTATTTCCGTCGCATTTTCTCTTTCTTTTGAGATTGGCTGTGTTGTTCTGGTTTTGTCCTTGTTTCTGCTTCTTTTCTTTTGTAATTAGACGGAGAATGCTTACTAATGCAATGCAGTGTTTATAGCCAACACAGGGTAGAACGTGGTCACGTTGATTAACGACGTACTGGTAACGTGGGTAGCACGGGTTTCATCTCACGTCATTGTCGCGGTATATGAGGTGTCAGCCAGCTGTCACTGAGTCTAAATGTTACGTGTGGAGTGTACATGTCTTTTTCTACGGATTGGGTCTTTGGTAAGGGAGCGGCCGGATACTTTACGAGTTCTTTCGAAGGCTTGAATCAGCACTCTGCTTTACTGGATTCGACCGAATGTGACGACGAACAGCTGCGTCGCGAGGATCCGGCTTTGAAGAGAAAGGCAGTGAAACGTTAGGGAACATCATTCAAGCCGAGCTTGAGTGAGGTTCGGTTTAGTAAAGGTTGATGAGGAAATTGTAACTCATGAGAACCTTATGGAAGAAGATGCAAGTACGATAACAAAAGTTAATAGGTTACACTCGATGGATTTCTGGTTAAGAAAACAATTTATAAAAATTACTTGGATAGTTGGATGGTCCGTCTTTACTGGTTGTGGAGTCCTCAGCATTATTTCTATTTTCTCAGAGTGTTGCTGGGTTAGACACTGTGTTTCCCTGGAGTCCCAAGGTAAGCCTGGCTAAAGTCTAGCCCAGGTCGTCACCACCAGAGGAAGTGGCTGTCCGTGTGGAAGAGAGGGATATTTGCCACCATGCGACTAGTTTGATACCAGGACGGTGGTGGATCCTGGTATTTGTTTACTCTTAGCTGGACATGCTGCTGGCAACGCCAGAGTCTTTTTCAGCTTGAGAGACCCTGCCGGGTGGATGAATCCCGTCGCACTCCAACATTCAGGAACACCTCGCAACCACGATAAGGCAGTAAACTAGTGGGAGAGTTTGTAAAAATCAAAGTGCCCTTTGTATGCAGTCTGTAAATGTCTTAAAGGCTAATCATGAGGACCTAAAATGTTGCTGTCTGTGACTATGATCGAGTTGTTTAATTTTACTTTTCTTAACAAATAGCCCAGTTTTGTGTGAAGGGTTCGTCTATTATGACGTTATGAGTTTGTTGTGTTTCGGAGCGTAGACAGTAAATTCCCAATGACCAGAGATATTGAGGAGTCGAGAACTGAGCACAACTATAGAACGTTTTGACCTATTACTCCTGAGGTATGCATGGTGTGTATACTAGTAGAGGGATAGAAAGAGTGGAGCTGTCAATGCTGATCGATCCCGGAAGGATGCCGTGCACTCGGCTTTATCAAACAACGTTAGAAGTGAATGAATGTCTATCTGGCCTGTACAATGGCTCACGCTGCGCCACAGATGCATCGAGACAGTACTGTCTTCCTCGAAGACGCTTTAGTGTGGGGCGCGGGTTCGAAGCCAATCGTATTGCACGGCGCATCTCTGCACCACACATTCCACTGCGTGCTTGCTAGTGTATCGGCTGTGTCAGACCGCGTCCCGTTGATCGTTGAGTACCCCGCGCCAGTAATTCTTCCTTCTTGTTCGCTCCAGGGAGTATTTGAGCATTTCATCTTTCTTCTACAGTACTCATGAAGAATCTGATCATCTTTATGGCTTTCCTTCAGACGTTTGGCAGCCCGAGGAATCTATTAACTAACGGCACTTGTTTATCGGTTGCCGTTGGTACGCATAACATGTTCAGCTCACCTTATTTTCGATAGTTTGGCGTATTGAACGGCGTTTTCTATTTTTGATAGCTGATGTTGATCGGAACCCGGGGCCCATAATCTCGCTAACGTGATACGAGACACTCCTACCATTAACCTTTCGACTGTGCTTTCTATAACGCTGAGTGATTTTTCATTCTGCTTACGCAGACGCCAGGTTTCTGAAGCTTACGTTAATTTGGGAAGAATCGTTGATTCAAAAAGGTGGGCACGGAGTAGGGTGTTCCTTGTTTTCCCATCTACATCGTCGATGGTTGTGTAAGCTCTTCAGGTCCATAAATTTCCCATCATAAACCATATACCAAGTCATTCATCTGATTTATTGACCTAGACAGATGGTTGAGATTGAATGGGACAAGCGAAAGCAGCCCATTCCCCATGATAGTCTTTTTTGTGAGATATATAGGAAGGCCACCGAATCCTCCCAACGGTCTGCCACCTTCTCGTGGCTGGGAGATGTAAGTGTGCGTCCATTGTAGGTGAAGGTCGTCTCTGTCCTTTCAGATTCAAGTAGCCTAAAATGGTCCTGAGATTTTAGCACCCTCTCTACACTCGTCGTGCCAACCCGTGTAGACGTCGTGTAGACGAAAGACAGCAAGCATATTGTGCGATAGTTGCCGATACAGTGTAGATCACGCTTCATGAACAGTTGCACTGTC